ATATCTCGTGTACCAAAACCAAAATTCTAGCACACCGGTTTTCGGTTTTCAAGCTGCGGTTCTAAACATCAACTCGAAAACCGGCACACGGTTTTGATTTAGAACACACTGGTACACTAAAACTCAACCGAACCAGGGTACACGCTTACATAAACACAGGAGTATTTTTTGAACACGAACCAGCACACGGTGCGCACCGGTTGGTTCAGTTGCCCATCACTGGACCGGGGACCAACGGATGGCGTGATCAGAGATTTTATGCCTCAGATCTTATGCCGGGGGTGCCGACTAGGATTGAACCCAGACCTTTTGGGGTGAGAGGCAATCACGCTTATCACTACACCACCGGCGCCGCTATTGTAATGTAAATTTTTGTATATGGCAAATACAAAGTAAAGTATTTTGGTTTTTTGATTCATCGGTTTATTCGTTCACTCGTGGTTGTGGCCGTAGGGATTGGTGGTATGTATGTTCGAGCGACAAACATCCGAATTTGCACATGTAAAGGGTGTCCACGATAAAATTGCCACACACAAAATTGATTCGCAAAATTCTAGTTTTCATCCGATTGCCATCAAATTTTCAGGGATTGAGAAATAACTATTAAACTTCATTTTACCATTTTACTCGTATTTTATTTACAGTCCATACGCAAATGCCCGCACCTTGGCCTTAACCCCGGCCATAAGATTCTGCACAACCTGTGAATCAACCGTTTTTTGCATGTAAACCCATACTTTCTTCAGTTCCTCGACTGTCTTCACTACCTTAGGTCGTTTAAGAAGGTGCTGCTTCATAATCGCCCAGTACTTCTCGATGGGGCGGAGCTCCGGAGTGTTGGGAGGGTTGAACATTTTCGGCACGAAATTGACCTTATTGTCCGCATACCACTTCAGCACGTCCTTGGAGTAGTGGCATGAGGCCAAATCCGGCCAGAAGATTGTTGGGACGTTGTGGGCCTTCAGGAGAGGAAGCAGCCGCTTCTGGAGGCACTCTTTTATGTACACCTGTCCGTTCATCGTGTCCTGGGTCACGAAAGGTGCACTCCGCTTCCCGCACGTGCAGATGGCTTGCCAAACCAGGAATTTCTTCGCAAATTTGGACATCTTTTGAGTGCGGACATGCTCCGGAACGCTGAACTTATCCTTGGCCGTGAAAAACAGGTTGCCGGGGATCTGTTTGAAGTCGGCCTTCACATATGTTTCGTCGTCCATGATGCAGCATTCAACTTTCGTCAGCATGTTGAGGTACAACTTCCTGGCACGGGTTTTGGCGGACTTGTTCTGCTTCTCGTCGCGATTAGAGGCCTTTTGTACCTTGAACGTTCGAAGCCCAGCCTTAGTTTTGGCCTTCTGGACAAAACTTCGGCTTAGGTGCAGCTTCTTAGCCACATCCCTAACGGAGGCGTTCGGATTTCGGTTGAAGGCCCCAACTACGCGGTTGTGATTTTTGGTGTTGTACGGAATACTTTTTCCTTCACTTCTGGGCTTCCGATCGGTGGTCAACCGTTCCTCGAACCGCTTAATCGCTCGCGACACCGTGGAATTCGCGATTCCCAACGTTTTAGAGATGGAACGATGCGAGAGATCCTTGTTCTCGTGATGAATGCGCAAGATTTTATCACGCACGAGCTGTTCTTTCGACTCCATTTCCGCGAGTTTTGATCACAGGACTTTAAAACTTGCAGGATGTAAATAATGCACTATGAACTAAATCCGCCCAAATTTTCATTAAATTCTACCCAACGGTTAAAAAGTTAGAGCAATTTCATAGTGTGGCAATTTCATCGTGGACACCCTTTATAAAGGGGATGATATTTCATGTTTTCCCGAGAAACAAGACCAAAGATTTTGTCGCACCACGCACGGGCTTCAGTTGAAAGAGGAAACTCGTCTTATCGAGGATGACATACGGTTTACAAGCGTGTATTGATATTTACCTTGTATCGTTGGTTCTTACATTTGATTGAAAAGACAGTACTAGTCTAGTTTACTTAAAGAATTTGTACGTAGTAACACAAGCAACCATACTAATGGGCTTTAAAACGCAAATAGTGGTTGATATTTTGGATCAGGCCTGCCCAAAGTTTTTTATTCGTGAATCTTCGATTTGAGCCCATCCCTGCATTGTAGGTCGATAATTGACACATTTGTTTCTTACATATTAATTTCTTACACATTGTTCTGTCGATATTGAAATGCGAAAAAAATCTTAATTGTTGAAATCTAGGAAATCTGCAAAATTAATTCCTGCTGACTTTGCCTTATAGTTTCGTTTGAGTTGTTTGAAGATGTCTAATAGAAAGTCACACATCCAATTAGGATTGATGAATTCAGATGATACTAGTTTCTCCTTCTCTTACAAAAATGATACAATTTACAAATTGAATAAAATCTCTCTAGCATAGCACCGCGACTATGAACTTCACTGTAATACACCAAATTGCTAGAGACGAACCAACTAATGGCTGAAAGTTTCTTTAATAAAGTAACCTAACCTTACCTATCCTAACATAACGAAATTACCATATTCCGACTCCATTTCCGTCAGCAACATTAGAAATTGGTGTATAATGTCTATAGTAATGTAGCTCAAAACTTTACTTTGCGGATTTTGCAATTGATCTGAATTGACTTAACCATACTTTCTCCGGATTACTGAAAATATTATGTTCTATCATGATTAAACTTATTTTTTCGGCACAAATCCTGCAGTTCTTCATAGCTGACACAGCAATGTTTTCAAATAGCATTTTGTGCGATCTCCCTTTCGACTTTTGCTTTGATTGTAGAGCAAGGTGGGTTTAAATGTTCGATCTTAGTTGAAGAAAAAAAAAAAATATCTCGAAACTCAAAAAAATTGGAATCAATCCAATCCCATACACAGGATGCTTAATACAAGGTTAACATCTTTCTCTCATGAAGTTTTAATGAATTTTTAATTTATTCGTAGCTAGAAGGTTTTTTTTTGGAACACTGTTCTCCTTTTATTTCACATACTTAATGGCTATTTATGAGAATTTCAAATCTTTAAATGCTCCATGATAGTGTTAAGGAATTCAACAACCACATGTGTGTGTCCAAAACTTGGCGATCAACGAAATCCACTCAAAAACAGTGGTTTTCCGCAATAATTACAATAATTTAATTTTTTCGAAGCTTTTGTCATGTTCTGCTCCATTTGTGAATGCTGAATGCTGAAATTTGGCCATTTTGGATCGTGTAAAATTTTATTTTTTTTAAATTTTGGCACGGAATGGCACTTTTGACGGAAATGACGTCTGAGACAAAAATAAAGTGTTTCTGTTCTGACGGGTTATGGTTTAACCCTTGGTTACCCTACATAGTGAAAATATAGCTTAGATAGAAATCCTTTCGAATGAGAACAATGCTAGATGAGGACTACTGCAACTAACCAATGGAGGCCCTGCTGGAAATAGCACAGTAAGTAATCGGTTTACTGTTTACTGTTAGTTTGGTTGATGAGTAAGTTTATGGTGGTGTGTTCTTTTGTCCAATGTAATCATCCTAAGACATGTGATGACTGGTGTGTGCTTTTTTATGTGCAAACTTACATGCTTATCAATAATTGGTGTAGTGATGTGTGGTGGTGAGGTATTGATATCCTTAGTAGTGGCAAAAAGGTGCTTGTGCAGTATAGCGAAATACTTTGCGTCGAAAGCAAAATTCAAACAAAAACGATTTCTGCTGTTTTTTTTATTGAAATATACGTAAAACTTGAACAAAAGCATTTGCACGAAACAAACAACGTGTGAGGTTTTAGTAAATTGACTCTCAATCTTCGGGTTTTTATCATATATTAATCATTAGGAACGTTTGATTTTTAGGGAAGAAAATCTTTGCAGTTGGAGTTCGTTGTGTTTTTTTCTTTTTAGTTTAATGCTATATTTGTATAGTGTTTTATTATACTTCTAACTCTTTTTGAATTTCCAAAATAAGGCTTTTGGATTGTTTGCGATGGATGGTATCATTTTAAGGGAGAGGCTATAATTTTGTGTTTTCCTTTATTTTGACAAAACCTAAGAGCCATGGTGGTTCGTTAAAGCAAAGTAAAATACTGTTGGATGACGAAAGAAAAAAATAAAAAAACGTATCAAGCGTAAACGAAAAAGTAAATGATTCTCGAATGAGTTTACTGTTAGAAGATGATAAAAGCAGAAGACAATTATGTTTTATTGCGATAGAGCTAGGAAGTTACATTGTTACGATGCGACAGTAGGGATAGAGTAAAGAGCACAGACCAGTCGATGGAAGGAGGGGGGAATTAAGTTTGTTATTTACGGTTAATGTGACAGTGCAGTGAAGGATAGGAGGGCACTTAAATTTGAGAGGGATTTTTAAAGCTGAAAAACGCTACTTTGTTGCAAACCCTGTTAAAACTCTCAATTTCAAGTGCACTAGTACCAAGCAAATAACGGAGAGCAACAGCATCAGTTTACTCGAAGGATCACCGAAATGCATGATGAGTTAAATATAAACCAAAATATGAAAAACAATAAGAAATGTGAGAAAGTGGAAACGAATAAATTGAAAGGAACGGAATCGACTAACTAAGAAACACTTAACTGAGTGTAATAATGGCTAGGTATCCATCTAAGTACTAGGAGTTTAGTAACTGTATGTCGTATTACAATCAATATGTGTGTATTACAAGCAATTAATTGTTACTGGATGTAGTAATTACTGTTATCGTTACGAAACGAGATTAATGTTAACAGACATATCTTTATCGAGTCATTCAAGGGTTGGGTACTGCTTGGGGGGTGGTAAACCAGGAAGTTAGTTAGAAAGACTATTTACTATTCTATATACTGATTGTTGTTATACGTATGTTAAGAGATTATCGTAGGTCGGAAAGGAGATGGAATGGAATGAGCGAAACAGAACAGTATAGAGATGAAATGGGACAGTTTCAAAGATTAGAGAGCAAGAGATGTCGAAGAGAAAGACTATGGCTGATTGGTGGAAGATAATAATTACCTCTCGCACTGCCGAAGCGTCCATGATGCTATTATCCATAATGAAACCATGAATACTAGAAGGACCGTTCCCGGGCATATTGTCATTAGTGTTTTCAGCACAAATCTGTAATGAACAATGGGAATGACATTATCAACACAGCCATTATCGGTAACCAACATCTGGCGTTGTGGAATCAAAAAGGATCAATTCGACTACGACCGAGACTAGCGTACTTACCGTGTGTTGAAATTGATACGATTCAGTGCACCTATACTACGTGATGAGGCATCGGTAAAAAGTTTCGAATGTAACAGCATCACACGACATATCAGGTACAAACGAAGGAACATTGGCAAAGATAACGCAACGTCGTAGGGGACGTATTCCGACCCCATCGCTTTATTCTTATTCGCTAGTTTGGTTGTCCATAGAAAATAATATTGACCTGGAATGGGATGCACCGCACAGATGAGTAATTCTAAAGATATTTGGCTCATTCGCTGCCAGGTCATCGCTATTCGCCAGTCATCCGCACAATTATCTATCATAAAAAGCTGAAAAGGATACAAAAGTAGATTACAAGATGATTAGTTTTGCGATCAAACTTAAATGTTTTTGTGTGGTTGCATAAACTGTTGAATTGATAGGACATCTTTTTGTTGCCGAGGGGCACAGTCTGGCATGGCCATTGAATCAGACTCCGGTCACTCCTAGACTAAGTAAATTTTTCCATAGTTTCCTCACAAATTTGTTCAATCATGTAGAAAACTGAAGATATATTTTGCGTTCTTCAACACTTCGTCTTGCAGCTATTGAATAGAAGCATCGTACCAAGCGTTTGTTTGACCCGGTCACGCCAAAAATAGATATATAGTATTTGATGTTTTCGATAGGCCGGGAATGGGCGATTAGGCCTAAGTAGATTTTTCCCTTCCGATCAATTGGATTCTGAATAGGACTAGTAAGACCCAAACTGAAATTATGAGCACTCTCAAACTGCTTAGCAAGCTTCTGAAGTATTTCTGCATTTGTGAGTACATTTTTTCTTCCTTATTAAGAAAATAGGATTTTGATGATATTCAGGGTTTGTGAGTTTCCAAAAAAGGTTTGGAGCTCTCGTCTAATTTCACCAAATTATTTTCAAAATTTGTGTTCTTAATGGTAAAGTACAGGGCTGCAAATTCGAATCGATTATTCATTGATTTTAGATGTACATGACCCGCTCACCTCAAATCCATGCGTCCCTTTCAAGAGCACCCCCATAATCTAATTTATGAATGTATAACTGCATATACACGTAACTCAGTTCCCTCTGATTGACAGTGAAGTATAAGTAAAACTTTTTTGCAATCAGTATGCCATATAATTAAAAACGTGAGTTGAACTCACCATGCTTTTTTCACTGTCAAATAAGAATTGGGAAGCTATCATATCGAAACTGCATGATAGGCAATAGTAGCCCCACCCGGATGCTCAAGGAACTTCTTTAAAATATTTAGACTATCCTGAACTTCTCTGAACTTCCCAAAAGTTCTCAGAATTTTTTAGAAATTCTAGGACGTTCCTGTAGTTTTCACAGTTTCTTTGGAGTTCTAGAAACTTTTTTAAAATTTCTGTAATGTCTCTGAAGCTAATGGAATTGAAGTTCTCGAAACATACCTTGAATTTTTGAAATTCTTCTGGAGCTCTTTGTACTACGCTGAATTTAATAGAACAGTCTTAAAATTCCATGAGCTTCATTGATAACCTCTGAGCATCGGTAGGGCTTTCAAAAAATTTATGAACTTTTCTTACATTTTCAATGAAGTTCTTAAAATGTTCATGAAATTCATAGAACAGCCCATAAATTATCAGGTCTAATTCTTCAACATCTTAGAACTTCCCCAAAAGTCTAGACTTTCCTGATGTTTTACGTATTTTCATGATGTTATTAGATCAACCCAAAAGATCTCTGCACAACACGAAAGCTCTCTAGACTTTCCAGAAATGTTTAAGTATTTTTATAAAAGCTCCCACTATTCTTCTGAATTTAATTTAACTACCATGAAGTTCCAATATATTCCTCTTAATTTTTTCTGAAGTTTTTTAAAATTTTGTTGAAGCTCGCGTAATTTTTCCCTAATCTTTCCCATACTTCTATGGACTTCCCTGAAGTTTTGTAAATGTTCTAATGATCCGGAAATTATCCTGGTCTCCCAATGTCCATGAAGTTTTACAAACATTCCTGAAATTCTCTGAATAGTTCCTCGGAATTCCTCGGAACTTCGCTGAAGATCTGCAGTTTTTTTTTAATTTTCTGAAGCTATTGGTTCTTCTTCTTCGTTCTACGTTTCAATTGAGTGCGTTTTTACGGCTCTTAACTAAGTGTTTTTATGCTTAGTCTTTTTCACAGATACTATTTGAGAGCATTCAATGCACGCCAATGCATGAATTTGTATATTGTGTGCAGGGAACTCTAGAAAACTTATATCCTCGACCAGACTGGGAATCGATGCCGCTGCCACCGGTGCTTGCCTTTACTCACCAGGCTATCTGAGGCCCCTGAAGTTCTTGGTTATGTCCTGAAATAACTGGGACTGTCCTGAAACCATTTACTTATCCTTGAATTTCTTCGGACTACTGTTAAGTTCATATCTGATATTTTCTGTGAAGATCTCTGAACTTTCCAGAAATTCCCGGAACTTCTTTTGAAATATTACAGAATTTAATTGGATTGTCTTGAATTTATCGGAACATGCCCTAACAGGTCTTTAAACATGACCGACACATGTTCCTGGAAAATTCCTGAAATTATGGGACACACCCTTAGTATGTCTAAAAATCCCTAAAGATCGCAAGACCTAGCTTCTCTGAGATACTTGAATCTTCTATAAAGTTAAAAAAACAAAGTCATCAAGTTCTCTCTACTCTGAAGTTTTCTTGATTTCCCTGAACTTATCTGGATATCTCTGAAGTTCTCAGAACTTCTTAAAAGATCCGGCAGTTTTTCTGAAGGTAATGCAATCTTAGAAATATTGATGCTTCCCTGAAGTTTCCAAAATTTTCCAAAAGTTTTCGGAACTTCCTTTATGTTCCCGCAGTTTGTTTATGAAACTTCTGTGAAATTCTCGGCAAGTTCTTGCAATGCTCCTGAGAATGTTCCTGAAAATGCTATGAAGTTAATGGAAGTTCCCAAAAACTCTTTAAACTTACCAGAAGGTCTCTGGACTAAATTATCTGAACTAATTATCTGAACTTCTTTTAAATTTTCCTGAAGTTACTGCAGTCAAGCTCGTCAGTCTTCACTAAACTGAATTTTCCTGATATTCTTGGGATCATCTTTGAAATTTATGGAACATAAATGAAATTCTCAGATCGCTTTAAAGTCTCCAGAATTTTGTCTGATGCTAATGGAACTATAATTTTGTGGAGTTTTCTCACACATTCGTTAACATCACCAGATTCGTTAACAGATTGATAAGAGCGTCAATTGAAATTTTGCATCCAAAATTTCCTCCATAATTTTGGAGATGTTGGTATCTGTCTGTATTGAAACGCATGAGCATTTATGAGGTTGCCAATTTGAAATCTACTTATTTGTATTTCTTATGGCGCAAAAAATTTTTCGTCTAATAAGTGCAGTCTTCAGTCTTCTAAAGGAGCAAAAATTTGATATTGCCTCAACTCTCTAACGTTTCGGAGATATATTTATGTATGATGCATTCCCAATTTCATAGCACATTAAGTAAAGTAAGTAGAGTTTTGTTGAACGTTTGTTTTTTTTTTGAATATTTTCATTCTACATTTAAACGCGGTGGTGGAATCTGGATAAAGATGTTGCATGTTTGCAGTGTAATTCTATCTTATGCATTTTGGTGGGCACCTTTTATGAAAGGAGCGCAAGTGGATCGATATTTCTGCGTTCAGTTAATATATTTTTACATCTTTATGCGATTTAAGGTGTCGCAGGATAAGTTTTGATTCATGTTAAATTCAGGTCACTTCCTTGAGGGTACCCGGAATATATCCGGTTGTGATCAATGCGGTCTTGGACACTTCATCTGACCGCCAATGATTTGTGTCGAATCATGGGTTTTGACTCATGTCAGATCCCAGCCACTTCACTGGGGTATTTAAAGCCACGATTTTTTTTTCATATCTCTGACTCAATGGGGTTCTATGGAAGCAAAAATCACACAAACTCGGACTTGTTTCACTCAAATCGATTCAGCCATCGACCAGGAAATCGTGTGAGTTACACACAAACACACAAATATTTTTCGAACTCGTCGAGCTCAAATGATTGGTATATGACACTTGACCCCTCGAGCCTTAGATCGAACATGTGTTTTTCATGCGATATTATAGCCTTGCAGTATTCGGTCCATTGCGTATAGATTATAGAAATTACATAATACAACCGATGGGCAAATGTCTGCCGATGATATGTGGTTGAAAAATGTGACACCGAGTTGAGCAACAAATAAAAATATAATGATCGTTTGTTACTGTACAATCGAGCTCATCTTTTGCGTCGTTTTGCATTTCATTTATCATCTAGATCGATAATTTATACCCAGTCGTTAGAGTGTCACATTCAGAATGTTAAATTACCGGGAACGTTGTTTATTGAGGGCATAAATTGCAGCTGAAAGCATCAACAGCTAACTAGCGAGCTAGCATCATAAAGAGCAGTGAGATTAATTTTGAAAATAGTCTCATACTTTGCGTCAGTCATTTTGCTTATTGTATTGCAGCAAAAAGCAATTGTAGGCAGGCGGCTAGAGCTGCTGGCATCATGGGTCTGAGAAGGAAGCATTTTAAACTTGAAGCTCAATAATCTGCTGGCTGTTTTGTTGGAGCAGACTTAATTAAGCTGGTACAAGAAATATTTTAGCCAGTTTTATTGAGCAGCTCGTTTTCGCTGAAAACTCAATGAACGCTTACGAAAACGAACCCTCTCAAATGAAAGCTGTCCTTGGTTTTTATGCTCCCAATTTTCCGAATGGTTACGTCTTTGTCTTCAAGGCTTATCCGTGTAATTGTGCTGTAAATATTTGCTTGACATTGGGTCATGAAATGAATTGTAGAAAATTTCATTGCGTTTGTTCCATTGAGTTCTTGACGTGGTCCTTCATAATGTAGAAAAGAGGCATCTCATTTTGATTTCATGATAAATTATCGTATGCCTTATGTAGCTGAGTACCCTTGCTGCATATAACTGCGGTGGTAGCAGTTGTTACTCTTAAAAAATATGTTTCCATGTTCTAACTTGTCGCATAGTCAGCCGTTTGTGGAGAAAGTTGATAGAGAGTATTTAGCTAAATTGATAAAAAAAAAATTTTCGAGTTTTTTTTTTCTAAGTGTTAAATTGAATTTTCAGTCTAATCAATATTGCAACTTGAACGTAATATAGACAATTATAATTACCTGAACTTCCAAGGCGTGGTAGGCTACAATCAGCCCGAGTAAAATCACAGTCGATACGGATATTAACGTTTTTAAAGCAGTTGAATAAAAAGATGCCTGTGAAAGGAGAAAAGAGAAAAAAAAACACACACACATGTTAAAACAAGGCCTACAATCCGATGGCAATCCTTTCATGAATCATTTTCTTGAGCTATGTATGAAGTAAATATGAATGAATGACTGTGAAGATATATGATATAGAATCATTAAAACAGAAGAACGATGCTCACAGCTGTAGGGCACATTGAATTGACTATAAATATAATCGTCATTATAAACAGCAATATCAACATCATCATCATTTCCTCGATAGACCTCCTAACGGGTGCTCAATAAAAAATGAGAATGATTTCAGTGCCGTCCAGCGCTCTTGTGAGAGCATCGTGACTAAGTTGCGTCGTATGGCTTACCAGGGCCCCTTCTCCAATATTCATTGACGTTTTTTTGAGGAATAAACATTATGTTTTAATAAAAAATACAGAATTCGTTAAATTTTTTTTTTACTATCTGTATGAATGGAAAAATTCTTATTCTTTATTGATCACCCGTTATAATTATTGTGGAAGTTGTATGCTCAAGAAAACCGTTTCATATAAGACGTCATATTGTCGATCGTTATATCAGAAGATGACGAATGATGAACTGTATAAAAGGCTTTGTATTGAAGCGATGTCATATACATATTAATTCAATTGAGGATCTCAAAATGATTCATCTTTTATTGATGGGTATACACAGTTTGCAATGCTATAAGACATGTACTCGATTTAAAAGGCATTTTGAAGAAAAACGATTTAACCTATTTAGTGACGCGGCGGTTGTATATGCTGGAAAATTGTGAGAAGGATAAGCATTCAATTTCTAAAATTTACTGGATGCTTGCCATCGGGAAACGAGTCAAATTTGAATTGAATTGTAAATTCCTTTATCATAGCCGCTGGGGCCTACTGCATAATGAATTTACAAGAACTTGTTACTTGTAGTGCCCATTAAAAAGGTATTGATTTAGAAATTACAAGTACATGTAGATTTCATTATGCAAGTGGTCCCTAATAGTACTTGTAGATTTCGCTAATGGTGGTTTCGACTGGTTGATTGGAATTCTTTTATGGGGTGGCTTTCTCAGTCTTTTAGTAGAAACGATTAATTTTTTACGTTCCCGACGTTTCGACCGTTTGGTTGCGGCCTTTCTCAAGGGTTGTAATGTCTATCATTTCCCGTTACAAACTTTTACGCATCGAGGACAGCGTAAATGTAGATTTTTCATGACCTGTTGTTAATTGGTAGGAAATTTTAAAGTGTTCTTTTGCACAGCACTACAACGTTTTTACCTGTAGTGCTGTGCAGTCATTAGGTTCTGTACAACATTTGGCTGCAGCTTTTTCTGTACGGAAACACACTTTTTCTTCATGTCTTCCTCAGATTTGACCTCCTTGGGATGCTTCCGTAGTGCCTGCTTCATAATAGCCCAGTATTTTTTGATGGGACTTCGTTCCGTTGGGGGTAGGGGTGGGGTGTTCATGTCCTTGGGTACGAAAGTGCCCCGTTGGCTTCGTACCACGCCAGGACAACGTTTGAATAGTAGCACGACGCTAGATCCAGCCAGAAGATCGAAGTGCCCTCGTGTTGCTTCAACAGAGGAAGCAGACGCTTGTGTAGACACTCTTGAGGTAGGTCTCTCAGGTTACAGTCCCGGTAGTCACGAACGGCGCACTCCATTTGTCACATGAGCAGATCGCTTGCCAAATCATGTATTTCTTGGCAAACTTTGGAATTTTCTGCTTCCTTACTTCTTCCGGAACATCAAACCTGTGCTGGGTGGTGAAGAACAGTAGCCCCGGAAGCTGCCGGAAGTCCGCCTTGACGTAAGTCTCATCATCCATGAGGCTTCGTCAGCATCTGGGTGTACAGTTTCCGGGCCCGTAACTTTCTCACCGTATTTTGCCATTCGTCACGATTCGGAGCCTTCTGCACTTTGTACGTATGCAGTACCTCCCGGTCCTTGGCTCTCTGAACGAAAGACTTGGACAGATTAAATTTTTTGGCAACATCTCTGACCGAAGCATTGGGATTCCGCTTAAACGCTTTCACGACGCGCTTGTGATCCTGATCACTAATAGAACATCCATTCTGACCGCATTTCTCCTTCCGTTCGATGCTCAGAGTTTCGTAGTAACGTTTAATCACACGACTCATCGATGACTGCACGATTCCGAGTTGTTTTCCGATGTCCCGATGAGAGGGTTGAGGATTTTCCAGGTGCTTACGCAAAATCAATTCACGACGTTGCTTTTCGGGCTACGCCATTATTACCAACTTTCGAAAAACTGACAGCGATAAAAATACAGTGTAAACAATACACACTAAACTACTTCTACCCAAATTTTCAAGAGCAAATACCCAATTGGTAATTTTCTATAGCGTTTTTTTCACGATGCAATTTGATGTGGGACACCCTTTATTATTAGTTATCCACAAATTGTGTAAGAGTTTTTTTTAGTGAAGAATATTAGAAGACCGCCTTCCTCCTGTAAGACTTTAAGTTAATCCCCCTCCGCTCCCAAAATCTTAGTATGATTTCTAAATGTTCAGAAGATCGTTGAATATTGAGGTGAGAAAATTTTTGAGGTTTTCTGGTATAAGTTTAGATCAAATCATTTTCTTCTAACTATTAAAGCTTGTGTCAAAAAATGTCAATGGGGGATCCCCATTTTAAGAGAGCAAGGATGTGGGACACCCCTCCTCAATTCCCATACATAATTTGTGGATGACCGCATATGGTGAGGCAAGCACAACTCAAGTAACAATGTTGTATTTATGAGGGTTCTATAGATCATAATATAGACGGGTAGAATGCTTTAAAACCCAATCAATGTGACTTGAGAATGAAACACTATGCCCGGAGAATTCGATAAATTTTCCAACCCAACAAATTTCTTGGATCAGATCGGGAATCAAACCCGCCGCCTCCAGCTAATTAATATCGTGCCTTTACTGACTAGGCTGCTTGACGCCCGGTTCCTACGGAATCAGGTAGGAAAGAATGATTTGAAGAGATTGCTTCTTTTCTATTAAAAAAAAAGTTTCCACGCTAAATGACGAATCGATCGGACGTGAGCCCCTTTGATTTTACATAACTGTTTGTTATGGGTAATCATTCACATGTTTAATTTCGCCAAAAATTTCAAAATGGTGTATTCGATATGTTTTATAAAATCATAGCATGTCATTTCCAATTTAAATAACATTGACTTAGACATAGTTGCATGGAATTTCAAGAGGTCACACCTTGTCACAGAAGAGTTAGACATGTTCATTGCCAAATACAAAAGTTATAGCCTACCAAAGTGCCCTGGGTCAAATTGAACCAAGGGGACAGACAATGGGTTACGAATCTTTATTTTTGCATCAATGGAAACATTTTGGGCCAGCAATAACAAATAGCAATAACAAATTTGAATAAAATAAAATCGTTTTTCTTTAATTTTAGTTTAAAGTGCCCAGTGCGATAATTTTCAAAATTTAACTTTTTCAATAAATTTTAAAAATTATAAGTCTAATAAATATTGAAACGGGAAATTTTTTGGTATGAAAGATTTTATTTATTTTTGGATTTTTCCCCATTATAATGTTTTCTGTTTTAAATGACTTAATTTTTCCCTACAACTTTGTATCAGGCATCATTTCGATCAGATGTGACGTTTTCGTGCAATGAAAACTTTCGAGTACAACCTTTTGGAATCCTCTACAACCCGGGATAAAATAAACTTTCTTACTCTCCGTTAACCGATTTTCAAACCGTTTGTCAAACCTTCAATGATCTCATAGAAGAAAAGCGTTTTTGAATGCACGTCTTCTATCGTTAAATAGTTTCGTTATTAGATAGTCTCAGCTTTTTATCCTTTTTGTTTATTGGAGGTCAATAAGTAGAACCAGCCACGTTTATAAATATCAGGTAGCTCCGCAGTTGTTATGAAGAAATATTACATGTGAAACCATTTTAATTTATAAGTTTGTCGGTCGTTTATTCGCTCCTTTATATTAATTTGCAAGGACTTTTTTTTGTAGTGAATTTTAGCCATGGGATAGTTCTTCACTGGAAGGAAGCTCAATCCACCATTAGACGTCAATACCCTAGCATTTCGACGCCCTCAACTTCATTAACGAATCAAATAGAGTTCAAACCCTCTCAGGAGAATTTTATTAAAATACAATTTAATATTCGCCACATTTATTGTTGTTGATTGATAAATCACTCTTGCATCTTGTTATACGTGTTATCCAACTAGTTTTTGCAGCCTTCAAGGTTATACATTCTAAATTTTCAAGAAATTTCGGAAATTAGCTAAAATATCGGTATTTTCGATTTTTCTGATCCGATGATCGCTAGCAATAACAGATTACAAATTTGACCAAAAACCGTTCTTCTTTAATTTTAGTTAATTTTAAAGAGTCCAATGTGTAGCGGCGTCGTTGATGTAGTGGTAAGTGTGAATGCATCTCACTCCAAAGGGTCTGGGTTCAATCGCAGTCGGCACCGTCGGGATATTTGAGGCATAAAATCTCTGCTCACGCCTTCGTTCAGAAGTGAAGTAAAGCCGTTGGGCCTTGTCCAAGAGTTCATGGGTTGATAGGTAGAGTCCAGGTGTGGGAGCTGCTTCCCTGGAATCCCCAAGTAACAATTTTGGTTTTATGATGGTTCTATACACTATGATTTAGACTTGTAGAATGCTTTAAAACCACGATAGAACTTGCAATGTTACTTGAGTCAGTAGCATTGGTACTCAGTACGGAAAAAAGATAGACGGAAAACAAATCAAGGAAACAAAAATATCCGGAGTTTTAGTTTTACAAATTTTAGCATTTTCAAGACCATTGCAAAATTTTCTAAATAATACGTCTTTCAGGGCAAGAAATTTAGGGATCGAGTTTCACCGCAAAAAACTGAATTGGTAGTGTTCACAAGGAAGCGGTTTCCAGCCCAACTGCGTTTAAATCTTTTGGGCAGAGACATAACCCAATCTTTAACCTTCAAATACCTTGGAGTCTGGTTTGAT